AGGTTCATATTTCTTCTGACAGAGAAAGGGGGAACAACCTCTGCCTCCTTCAATCCCTTCTGCTTTTCTAGGTCATCTGGTGCCAACATTCCTTCCAGAGTGAACTAAGGAAACAACCCTACATGCAGTGCCAAAACCCTGCAGTAACTGTGCTCAAAGCAAATGGTTTTAGGGGACACAATGTTGCTAAAAAGTTGCTGACAGACTGAATAATGGCACTGCTACATGTATTGGTAACAGAAGTCTAACTTCACAGTTAGTAACCTTATAATGGCAATGCCTCCAGTTCAGCATTAATTCGCTTTCACTGTAGTGGTGACCTCTCAAAAATCTGGTGCCACTATTAATGAATGATGCAGCAAAAGTGCCATAGACTATGATACTGATTGAATCAAATTACAGGTCATTCTTAAAATGTTTGCCCAAAAAACAGTCACTGCACTTTACAGTATATCCTATGCGGCGCTTTGGTACGTACTCCTGACGTGAATGGTGCTAAACCAAATGTAAGTATTATTGTTAATGATAAACTCCTGTCCCAATTCTTGAGATGGTTGGCACAAGGCCATTTATAGACCAGTATATATGAGCATCAAGATAATTAATTTAACATGCTGGTATTTTGGGATATCAATTTATTTGAAAATTGCCTTTTTTTAAAAAAAAGACAAATTTGTGCTGCTAAAGTATTCCCTTCTGTAAAAAAAATCTTTACATTACATCCGATTTCACTTGTGCCAATTAAGGAGTCCACTTACTGCACAATGCTTAAAAGAACTGCTGAGAGCACAGCGAGAAATCTCTAGAGGAGGTAAGGGAAAAAGAATGAAGGGGCCTGGCGACAGCCATGTTTCTATGGGACTAAATATTTGAGAAGAGGAAGTCTGGAGCATGGAAGACAATATAAGAGAGAAGGAATGTTGCTGATGGAAGCACTCAAGTGGTTCATTAATAAGATTTGCCAACCCACATTTTATTCTTTTGGCTGGGTTCCGAGTTCTGATCAATCAGTCAACAGAAACCCATTCCTTAGAGATCTCTAGTGAGCGCTATGCAAAGAATTTTAATCTTTATCTTGAAAACCAATGTTTTCTGTTTGTTTTTCGTTTTATTGATTTGGAAATACAGTAGATAGTTGTGGAAATGCAGTAACCACTGGTGACTCAGTTGATAAAAAGCAACTGCCAAGAGGGTTAATGAGCCATACTAACCCAGGTTTGAATTCCAATCTGCGCTGGGTTAGCTGATCTCAACAGAGCTCTACAATTGGCCTCAGTGTCACCGAACCAGGGAGATAAAAATGAGCCATCATTCCTGCTCGTAGTTGCTAACTAGTAGCCCTGCTGGAATGTGTGCTTGTTAATAGACGTGATCAGGATCCGCTCTGATGGTGCCCACAAGGTTGCCGGTGCTTATTGTTCAAACTCACAGATGAAAAATGGCCACCAGAGGTCAGCTGGCATTGTGCTTCTGCACCCCTCGTATGCGAAAGTATCTTCAGGAAAGGGAGAAAATTGGGAGTGGTGGAAAAACATTGTATAACTACACAGTGTAGATGTACTTTGTATACCTGACCTGTCAGCCTGAAGAAGAATGGGGACGCTTTGGGCTTTGCAGCATGAAGTTAATTATTATCTTGAAATGCTTATGATTGCACGTACTGCATGTGAATGTTAGGAAGAGAAAAACATAGAAATAACTTAGTAGAAAGTTCCTACCATTACGTATTTTGAGGTAGAAATTAACTTTGTCTAATACTTTAGGCTGTACAATATACATAGCATGAAATTAAAGTTGGGGCATAACATCATCTCCTAATGGGATGCTACCCTGCATGAGGGGTGCTATATGAATGCAAGTTGTTGTTATGCCCTCACCTCCCCTCACACCGATCCCAATGCTGTTATCTTAAAACAGCTCATCTACTCTCTGTAGCTTCATCGTGTTCATTCAATATGTGGCTCAGGCATTCTATTTACTTGCTTTGCGGTTCATTTCCCTCCTGCCATCTCCTCTCTTTATGTGCCCAAGCTCTATCCTTCCCTTCCTGGTCTATGCTGCTGGTCATCCTCATCCTTGAAATGACACGGAACATTCTTGAAGCTATCCTACATCTTAAGTCTCAGGAAAGGGAAAAGACTGCTTCCACTGGTACAGAAAGTCTTACAATCCCCACTGCCATAACTTTTTATGTCTCACTGTGGCAGTGGAAATGGAGGGAAAAGTGGGAAAAACCACTGATGTGAGTCAGAAGCTGCATTGTTGCGAAGAGACTATGGGGAAACAGCCTGTAAGTAGGATTTATAATAAAATACTCGGCTGTGTAGATAACATAATGAGCCAAACAGCCTACTATTATGCTGAAAAACTCTTATTCTATGCTCTATTGCCAGGTAAGGCTACAAAGTGGATTTCAGAGGCAATAAGGGGAAAGAGTACTTTGGGAACACAAAACAGGATTCTCATTGGCATTGGAAAGAATGAACAAACTCAGTAATGCAAAGCAAGTGATCTCTTGGAGAAATGGAAAACTTGGGGAAGATGCCAATACTGGTGATCTCAGAGACATAGAACATATACGGAATGAACTAGAGGAAGAATCACTTGGGCAGGTAACTGTATTATGTAGGCAAAATGCTTCAGCCAATTTGTACACAGCAATGTCCCCAAAAATGGTAATAAAGAGAATAACCCAAGTTTTCCTGTGGATTGTTGGCCAGGACACCAGAAACCCCGGGAGAAATGTGGAGCCTGGATTGT